AAAGAAAGAAAGAAAGAAAGAAAGAAAGAAAGAAAGAAAGAAAGAAAGAAAGAAAGAAAGAAAGAAAGAAAGAAAGAAAGAAAGAGTGAAAAACACATTCACTCTCCTGTGAAAATTTTAAAAGTTTAATGAAGGACAATAGGAGAAAAGGACCATAAAGCAAAGGTTATTATGGCTGGGTGTGTCTTGGTACTGAGCCAAGACCACACCATCACCTTTGAGGATACTCCTTAAATACTTTTTCCCTTACATCAGCCTGTTGCATATTCATAGACCCTTATGCATATCCAGAAACTAGTTTACATATTCCAGGAACTATTTTACATGGCCCCTGCTTGGGTCCTCCTTTTTAGAGCATATGTGTTTCTTGGCTGTGGTTTTGGCTCCTTCTCTTTATCAGTTCCAGTTTGGGCCTTGGTCCATACTTTCTTCAGATGGTGAGTGCTGATAGTTGGCATATCTGTAGCAGGTGTCCTCATCCTACGTTCATTGGATGTTATCCCATCTAAGCAGGCATTTTAACGCAAGCATAGCTATTTCACTACTATGTCTAAGCTTAATTAACAACAGAAATAAAAACTATATCTTTATAAAAAAGTTACTTTACCACTACACATATGAATTCATTTTAATATTTTTGAAAAACCAATATTATAATATGTATCTATAACAGAAAGAAAGAAAGAAAGAAAGAAAGAAAGAAAGAAAGAAAGAAAGAAAGAAAGAAAGAAAGAAAGAAAGAAAGAAAGAAAGAAAGAAAGAAAGAAAGAAAGAAAGAAAGAAAGAAAGAAAGAGAAAGTTATTTGTGCATGGGGATGGGGTGACAGGGAGACAGTGACAGGGGTTACATAGAAACATATCACCCTTCCGGGGGTCCAAATGACATCTCCTTGCTCCCCTCCATCTGGTCTTCTTGGTGGTGAGAGTCCCCTGCGACTGCCATGCTGCCACCGAAAAGTATAGAATCCAATGGATTAAAATATGTTTTGTCCAGGTGGGAACGCCCAGGTGCCTCCCTTGACACTGTGGCTCTGTTGCATCATGCTACAGTGCTCTGCTGCAGGGTCTGGGGACCTCTTTGGGGAGGGCCTTTGATGGGCCATGACACCCCCTCTGCTGTCCTTCATGTGTCTTTTCCCGGGGTGAAAGGGCCTCACAGCTGAGCTAGTCTGCTCAGCAGAGGATGGGTGTTCACTGCCTTAGACCAGAGGCTTTGTCACCCCACACCCAAAACCTCTCCTCCTCCCCCCACCCTTTGACATGAGGGTCTGTGAGAGCCTGGCAGCTGATAGCCCTGGGGCTGCAGTCTCCACCCTGAAGGTGCTACACTTGATCCCTCTGTGAATGGATTCTTTTCCCCCCAGCCCAGACCTGAATTGCTGTCTTAGCTTCATCAAGTAGTGGAGGTCAGAAGGCCTATTCAGGGTGTGGTGGTCTTCTCTGCAGCTTTTGTAATACAGTTGTGAAAAGTGCATATTATATGGCTCTACACAGATATTTACTATATGTATTATGTTGTATTGATTAGTAGTGCTGTATTAACATTTTAATAGTATGGTAAATGTAGTTTTGTAGTTAAAAGGTATCTTTTGTAGTTAAAATAGGACCTATGTATGTGGGATATTCTTTTAAGAAAGGAATGAGGTACTCGCACCAGATAGCAGCCACAGGACACCTAAATCTTTCAGAGAAAAAGAATTTATTGCTCCCTTATCAGAAGAAACTAACTTCTTCCCGCCTTGCTCATACATGAAGATGCCGTTAGGATTAAGAGAAAGAAGTTTGTAGAGAGCTTTTTGGATAATTGGTTAGCTGAGAAAGGACATTTCGATGTGATACCGATGGATAAGGATAGGGGAAACAAGCTGGGGATTATGTAACCGGTGTCCAATCACTGACAAAGGTCATAGTGACCTTCGCTGAAACGGGAAGATGGGGGAGAAAATCGCTTGCCAGAAAATGAAGATAGCCTAGGTAGAGTAGCTATAAGAATGTAAACATAGAAACAAAATAATCATTAGAGCATAGAAGTAGGTGCGGTTGATCTAAGTGTGCTTTAACCAATAATGAGCCCAGCTTTTGCAATATGTATAAGCTTCATTAACACCAATATAAATATGTGTGAGCTATCAATAAACTTTGGGATTTGCTGTTCACGCATATTGTGTGAGGCATTTCTTCCGCCGTTCACGACAGAAGTTGATACTGACCAGACTGACTCCTTTGTTTGAATGGAATTTATGCATCATGTATGAGGTGTATGAGTATGCAACAGGCTATTGCTTTTAAGGGTTAATCCTTTGTTAACGGGTGTCCTTTTTCCAGGCTTGTTGCCCAGAAAAAGGTACCTGGACATCCGTAACTCTTTGTTTCTGTTGTCTCATTTTGTCCTAATCTAAATTGTTCAAATTTTTATTACTCTAATTTTACCGCTATTTTTATAACCATTTTATTATCATTAAACTTTTAAAATTTTAAAAACAAGTGATTGGCATTTTTCACACAGTTTTGCTATAATAGGCAAAGGTCCTTCATGAAGATTTTTAAGCCATAAATTATAACATTCAGTCTCCAATACCCCCTTCCCCCCAGGCTACACTATGATCTGAGAAATGCTCATTAGGCATTGGCCTTGACAGCACCTGGGCTGAGCTCCTCTTGAGCTTATCAGAAACACTGTCTATTCCCAGGAACTTGTACTGTCTAAGGAGATCCTATTTTTTAACAAACAGCCTTGGAAAATTATTTTTCTTGCCCGAATAACCCAAATGGATTAACATTTTTGTTATCAAACTTTCAAAGAAAGTTACTGTTGGGAGGAAAGTGTTGAAAGTCAAAAATGTTGTAGATTCACTCAAGGGACCTTGCATCTGGGAATGCCAAGGTCTGGGAAATAACAGTGTGGGAAACCCCACATATTAAGCCTACTGCTGTTTGTCCTCTGTTTTGAGAAGTAGAATTTCTTTTTAGAGATAACGTAGGTGTTTGCAGAGACTTGGAAGCATTTTCATGGACATGCTTGAGCTCCCTGTTTTGGGAGAAAGAAGATCAAGTTCGGAGGTCATGCAAAGCATTGGGGAGATCACAGCATGGTGGCAAACTACATATGCACAGGCCACTGATAAATGGGTGCAAACAGCAGCCCCTGCCTGGTAGCATGGACTGATCCTAACCATGCCAGCATTCCTGCTTGTTTGTCTCCACCTGGATGTTGCTTCAGGATCCTCCAGTTAGCAAGGTAATGAAATAAATTTACTCTTCGCATTTCAGCCATGGTCTTGTGGTTGTTCTGGCTGCCTGCCTGTATTGTGTAAAATGTTTTTGTGATTTGTGTCAATTGGCAATGGAATCAGAAAATGCTTGTATCTGCTGTGTCGAAAGTGGATGTGTTCCCTGGGATAACTACAAAGAACGGTTTTGAAACTTTCTGATCGATTAGCCAAATTAAGCATCGAAATAGAAGAAGTATAGTAAAGAGATGAAGTAGCAAGACGACTGATGCTTAGAATAAAATAGAGGAAGTTGTGGTAAAGCTAAAGGAATATTGCAACAAAGCGACTAAATGCTTATCTATAATAAAAAGCGTGATGCACTTGATAAAAATCATGTAGCAGACACTGGTAAGGCCTCCCTCCAGACAACCACAAGAAGGACAGGAAGCCAATGACCACCTGGAAGGATTATGAAATTGCTGATCCCAGCTTATTAATATTTGCTGATTCGGACTAACACAAGCACACTGGAAAATGCTTTGTAGGCTTAAAAACAGTATATATACTCTGGTGAACTTGTAGTGGTGTGTGCCATTAGTGGAGTGGTGAGTCCCCAGCCACCCAGTGCTGCTTGCTTTCTTTCTTTAAAATGAAAGATATAGAAATAAAATTCGGTTTGGCTATCGAAATTTTATATCATGTATCAACTCACACAGTTACCAGCCTGAACTGCAGCCAGGATGGAAAATTCCCGTGACTAAAGCAAATTCTCTTGTGACCCTTTAAACAGCAGTCTTAAGTGAGACCCTTTGAGCTGTTCTGGACTGCAGCAGGCTGTAAACAGTCATCTCCTTCTGAGTAGGACACCTAGCAGAGCCAGTGAACTCTCAAGTTTGCTATACTTAGAGGACCACTGATGAATGCTGACAAAGGAGCCTGGGCTTATACCTCCAATCCTCAAGGCTCAACCCTTCGCCCATTTGAGAAAATGCAAAAGCATCCAAAGTGAGCACTGAACTAGAGGGAAATTTTTCACAGGTATTTAACTTGTACATACTCCTTTAGGTCTGTGTGCATGCAAGTGTTCATATGTTATAGTAAATGTACTAGGAATGCTTCTCTCCTGGATTCTTGAGTACTTTAGATTTTAAGTAAGTTAGGCCTGTGAGTTACTGTTGTGCTTATAGGAAATTCTATATGAATATTTTGTTAAATTGTTTAACTTAAGCTATTATTTCAGTGCTGTTATGTTCAAGTGCTGTTAAACCTTTAGGCCCAAACCGTTGGCTACATCTGGGGTTAAGTTTGTCAAGGGGATCCACACTGAACCTTGTGTCTCAATGGAAGGCTCTCCCTTATTCCTTGTTATCCTTACCGTTTCCTATCCTTACCCTTTCCCCCTCCCCCGCCCTGCCCCAGCCTCCACATAGATAGTTTTTGGGTTGATACTGGGTTTAGATTGATTGATTGAAGTTTGTTTTTTCTCTGTGTGCTGTAACCTTCGAGTAAATAGTAGAGTGAACCTGGACAATGAACTTTGTAGTGCTTTCATTTTTATATTAAACCTGCTTTTGCCCATACCATTGCCGGTGATTCTTTAAGTGACTTTTAAAAACTAATTTGCGATACACCTCATGTCAGCTGGAATCGAGACTCCCCTAGCTCGGAGGAGACAGGGTCGGCTCTGCCTAACGTCCGCCGTTGGGGGTAGTGTGTAGAGTCATTTCCGGGGAAGCTCGTAACGACCTCAAGCAACAGGAACATCCGGTTCAGGGTTGGGGAGGCTCGGTCAGTATTGTGTAGTTTGTGGTGAGGATGGCGTTGTGGTTTTCCTCCCTTCAGGGTCTTGGTTCGGTTGAGGAAGATGAGGAACGGGAATTCACTCTTACATCTATTCAGCGCCTGTCGGAATGGCAGGTACATTTCTCCCCGTACTATTTGTCATGCTGTTTTCTTGTTCTGCTGAGTTTGTATGGGAATTCATGAGCTCCTTCCTTCCTCCGGCAGGGGAGCTTCAGCCGCATGTACCAGGGGCATGGGTTTCCGTTGCTAGACCAAACTTTGGGTGGAAACACATGTGACTCCCACCGCTGGGGCATTCTGTATTGCCAGAGCCTGCAACTGCAGGGTTTGTGCCTGATTTCAGCGCTCCGGGTTCTTGGGGGAAGGGCTTTTGACTATCAGTTTACAGAATCAATTCACGGAGAAACTAATCTGTTAGGGGCTCATACACGTGTAGTTTCTTTGGTGTAAAATATAAAATGAAACCACTTAAGAGGTGCAAAGATGTGAGTCTGAGAAGTGATTAAAGTTTTTTTATTTTTCTTAAATAATCACAAATCTGGTGCATCGGTCTCCAAACTCCCTTTGAAAGTAGGCTCAGCTGTCACATATGGTCAAATTGCCAAGCCAAAATGATTTGAATACTTTTTGATGCAGAAGACATCTGGGTTGATTATCATTCATCCCATCCGAGTAGAGCTAGAGCTTGGCCAGAGCCCGAACTCTAATTGGTGGGTGTCACTTAACACATTTTAAAACAAGACTCTTAAAAATAAGAGTTATGAGTAATAAACCTTAGGGTTAAAGACCAATCAAACCATCAAGTATTCAAATCCCTCCGAAGTTTCCTTCAGGATAGAGATTCTTCAAACACAGCAAACTTCTTCTTCAAAGATCTAAAAGTGGTCACAGGCAAGATTGTGAGCCTGGATCTGGACACTGAGAATGTGAAGGTGGAGGAAGTGCAGCTGAATGAAAGACTGATTACTTAGTATGAAATTGAAACCCAAAAAAAAGAAGTTAATGTTACAGCTGGACTCTCTGCTGGAGTACCTCTGTAATAATAACTGAAGAAAACCATGAAACTAGCAGTCTGAATAAAGAAAACATATGAGTAGTTAAGAAACAAAAAGCAGGATCCCGAAGAGACACGTGTCTTGTAGGTGATCACACAAAGAGAGAGTAAAACACATGAAAGCTGGCAGTAAATACCACAACAATACCTTGATAATAATTCTTATCACAAAAATCAGAGAATTCACATTATATAATAAATTTATCAACAGGAAGTGTTTGAGGAAGTTAAGACAACCCCTTTTCTAAGCATTCATGTAATATTAACAACAATCACTATTTATCGGTATTACCTATAGAAAACAGAAATAACAAAGGTTACAAACTTGCTACCAACAATCCCCCAAACTCTGAATCATTGGGGAATCAGCTGATGACCCTGCAGGTAGGATCTGCTTGACGTTTCCCAAATGCTCTGTCTTCGGAGACATTTTGGGTTGTTGAATCATTACTAATACTTGTATCTTTACATGGTGGTTTCACTCACTGGGAAGCATTTTCCATGGTAAATGATTTCCATCTATGTCATATTTGGAATAACACTGATTTGCACAGTGTTCCCCTTTTCTACATCTTGGACAAAGATTTGGTATTTCTGCATTTTCTGTGGAGTTGCCTTGTTGAAAGGTTACTTGAAAAGCTGTGGGAGTTTTTTCTAATCTTTGATCTGAAGCTTCCATGAGTTTTCCAAATTGTTCTTCCAAGACATTCGCTTGAACTGCTGCTCCATGTGCAGGAGTGCTTATCCTGCTGCAGACTTCTATCATTTGAGGCAGGGTTGGTGGTGGACCAGGCAAGGCACTAATTATGCGCTTACATTGTTCATTGGCATTTGCAAAAGCCAAGCTTTGAAGCAGATGTGGTTGTGCTGCTTCATCAGGGCATTGTCCCTCCACTGCTTGAGTAAGGCGATCTATGAAGGAGGTGAATGGTTCAGATGCTCCTTGCTTTACTTCTGTGAAAGTGCCCTCTGGGGTTCCAGTGGATTGAACTAGCAAGATGGCTTTTCGAGCTGCTTCTTTAATATCTGTTATTACATTTTGAGGCAGATCTGTAGCTTGAGTTTCAGGTTGGTTATGAGGTGGATCGCTGCCTAGTCGAGCCAATGTGAGCTGCATTTGGACCTCTAGCATAAGATACTATTAATCTTTTCAAAGCTCTTCTCCATTTGACCTCCCATAGAATGTATTGTGAGTGTTAAAATTGTGGTTGCAATATACTTGCAATCATAAGGTATGAAATCATAAACTTCAAGCATGCCTTTCAATAGTTGTTTGAAATAAGGAGAGCCTGAGCCCCTCTCTCTAAGGGCTTGTCTCAAATCTTTTTATTACTTCATGTGCCAATGGTAGCCATCTGGCAGGTATATTTCCTCCAAAATACCTCACTGGCATGGCCATCAATTGTGTTGTTGTCATGTCAGGATTCCCCTTTTCAGGTTCCAACGCTGCATTCATTCCTTCTCCTCCTCCTGTGTGAAAAGCTGATGGTTGTATATGCTGTACATTATAATTATTTGAAGGTGTAATAATAGAAGCGACCAGTGGTGGCGCTGTAGCAGGAGGTTGAGAACCTTGTTCACAAGATGGCTTTGGAGGAACGATGTAAGCATTGTTCACGGAAGTACCTAGCGCGCCGCCATCTTGTTGTACGGAAGAGACACATATAACACCACCATCTTGTTGTACGGAAGACGCGTGCAGCGCGCCGCCATCTTGTTGAGCATAGAGCGCATACGCACAGTCTCTGCGCTGGGATAGTAAGTCTATGAAACGCCCGCGGGATAGCACCATGGTATGTGACTGAATGCCCGAAGGAGGTAGTTATCGGAGCTGCCGAAACTTCTGGGGGAACCCTCGTGTTTTGTGGTTCTAATATTGGTTGCGAATGTGTCGGAGCGGCTGCGCTAGCATCTCGTGGTGCATGTACGTTCGGGGGGGCCGGTCCACCCGCCCCGCCTATCCCGCTTGCTCCAGGCTGGGGCACGCCGGACACCCCGTGTGGGGGAGTCGCCTCGCCCACTTCAGGAGGCTGAGACTTCTCGGCCACCCGCTTCGGGGGGGGGGGGGTTATGTCGCCCGTCCTGGGCTGCGGGGCGTGTCTCTCCGCCCCGGGTTGTTCTCTGCCCACTGGGGTCTGCGGTGCCGCTTGGCTGAGTCCGGGAACCGAGATCGTATGTGCAGCTGCTGGCTGCGTAGATTTCGTAAGTTGCGAAATTTGCATATCGGCCGCTTTCTGAGTACAGGCGGGTTCCGCATCGCCCCCCTCTCTGGTCCTCGATATTCCGTGGAGTCCCCGATCTGTGGGCAGTACCCTCCCAAGGCTGGGGGATTCTTGGACTGCCTAGGCTGCCCCCATCTCCGTCTGGGTAGCTATCTGCGATTTTTCAAGTGGCAGTGAAGCTGTGGGCACTGGCAGAGCTGACGAAGCCACTCCCCCTTCCTGCGCACTCACTGCTTTTTTCTGTGCGGAGTTAGTGTCGCTGGAGGTATTTTGTGTATGTTTTATGTTGATTATAGATTCATAAACTGCTCTACTTGCTGGCAAAAGTTTTGCAGCCGTGGTGTTTTTAAATGTGGCTTCATCATATAGTTTTAAACTGACAGAGCCTCACAGATGGACTGAAAAGCAATTCTATATCTGCAGTTGTAAACTTTTCTCGGACCCAAGTTAACAGGTCTCACAATTCGTCTCTTGAAACAGGGATAGGATGATTTTAAACTATGGATTCTAATTTTTCTGTTGCTTCTTTTTGTGTCTTGGATGTTACATTCCCCATTTTTATACTGTTTTTGGCCGTGAAGGAAGATATAAAAAGATTCCTACCTGACTCAAAGGTCAGCTGATAACCTCAGTCTCACAGTCTTGCCTCTGGCCAGCAGACATGAACTTCAGATCCGAGCTGGTCTTGTCCCTGGGGATTCAGTTTTTCCAGCTTTTTGCTGCCACACACCAGCTTAACGCTGCTACACACCAGCTTAACGCTGCTTCTTCTGCATATACTGCTGATTTCTTCCTTCAGAAGTCCTGGCCTAGGAGCTTAGGCTTTCTCCTCACACGATGGGCACCATATGTTGGAATTTCAGGCTCTTTCTTGCTCCAAGGTCAGGGCGAATAATACTCAGGAAACGTTGTTTTTGAAGACTCACTCTGAAGTTTATTATCCTTATCTATTACAAACTCACGAGATTTGAGTTCTCCCTAACAAGTCGAGAAAGTGCCCTAAAATGGTGTCTGTTCAAGGCTATTTAAGTCCCAATTACCCAATAAACAGTTGACATCTATATTATTTATGCTTCTAACCCAATTATGATCACCGAAAATCCACAATGTGGACATCTTTCATCCAATTAGAGAAAACCACCCAGATCCATAAAGAAGAAGAAAGAAGAAGGTGCAAAAAGACATCTAACCCATGCCCAAAATTCTCCATCTTGGCTCCCATATATCACCATGTACCAAAACCCCAAATCTAAGTTTTTTCACCCTATGAGATCACACACTTCTAACCAACTACACACCCATAATCCCAGTGCTACTAATCAATTTTGGAAGCCTTCTCCACAGCCCCAGGTCAAATGCAGTGTTCTCCTGCGGGTCTGTGCCTTTCAGCACAGAAAGTTTAAAATTCTCAGCATCCAGAGCTCCAACAAATCTTCAGGTGATGCAGTCAAAGGTTCTCCAAACGGCTTCACATTCTTTGCTGGAATCCACTTAGGACCATTCTCTGTGGAGACAAGCAAAACCTCTACCCCAGGTGATCAAAGAATAAGGCCCCAATATTTTACGGGATTCTGGATCCTTCACTAAAACGGGGGGTTTTTCTTTTTGTTGCAATTGTGAATTGCAATTAAAATGTTGAACAATTGGTGGGTTAGGGTCCATCAAAGAGCAATTCAAAAAGTTGAAAACAAAAAGGGCTTTCTGCAGTCTCTGGGCAGGGGTGCCATCTCCGGCTCCCCCCTTCTATTGGACTAAGAGACACTTGAGGGAGCCATAAGCCTGTTCAATGATAGATTGGCCTGTTGGGGAATGAGGACTCCCTGTTTTGTGCATAATTC